GCCTGCCTCTGCCTCCCAAGTGCTGGGACTACAGGTGTGCACCATCACGCCTAGCTGATTTTCTCTTTTCTTTAACCAAACTTTGAAAATGACAGGGCTGAAGAGGTACCTCAGTGGTTTAGAGCACTTACTGCACTTGCAGAGGATCCAGGTTTGGTTCCTAACACCCATTTGGGTTGCTCACAACTGCCTGTAATGCCAGCTCTAGGGGACCCAACACCTTCTTCTAGCCTCTGAGGGCAGCTGCACACACATACACATACTGACACACAGACACACATAGATAATTAAAAATAAACTAAATCAGCCGGGTGTGGTGGCACACGCCTTTAATCCCAGTACTCGGGAGGTAGAGGCAGGTTGATTTCTGTGAGTTCAAGGCCAGCCTGGTCTACATAGTGAGTTCCAGGACAGCTGGGGCTACAGGGAGACCCTGTCTCAAAAAGACCAAAAAAACAAACAAACAAAAAAAAACCTAAATCTTGGAAAAAAAATATTAGAGTAGGTTTCTCTATTCCTATGATGTAAATTGTTGTGTTTTGGACAATTCTAGATTAGGCTTGAAGAAAAGCAGCTCATTTTCTGAGTGTTTAAAAACTTGTCTGTGATAATACAAAATTTGGTGTACCACAGGCCTATTTCCCATCCACAGAGACCTCATGAAGCATCTTCTGGATAGGCAAGGAACAGTGCAGAGTTGACAGCGGATGGTATAAGACAGTTTGATAACTTACACAGTAGACAGTTTAAGGCCCTGGGTTTAGTTATTAGCAATAGCTAATAATTATTTTATAACAATTTCTGAATTCTTAGAGTATTTCCTGCATGTCATTGAATCCTTAGACTAATCCTGTGGGTAGATAGCACTGTGATACCATTTTAGATACGAGGGAACCAAGGTTCAGTTGCTTAAAGGATTTTTCTCAGGTCACACAGCTTGGAGAATGGGGCTTAAAATTCAGGCCTATCAAATTACAGAGCCACCTCTTTGTATTGCTTTTCACTCAGGTTCTGGTGGTACCACATACTGGATAAGTCCTGCCTTTGGGCAGATTGGCCTTCACAGCCCTAGTTCCTTGTAAGTAAAATGTGCCAGACCCATCTACAGCACATCAGTCGTTGTGAACAGCAAAGAAGAGACTGTCCCACCGACCTTACTGAACCAAATAATGATGATGCATTACTAATACCTACTAATCATCTACTAATATGTAGATGGAGTAGGTTGTCAGCTGCCCTAGTGCTTCTTCCTAACACTTTTTATAAATACTCTTTTTTGTTTGTTTGTGTGTTTTTCAGCAACTCCATTCAAGTGTGAGAACAGGGAATCTTGAGACCTGCCTGAGACTGTTATCTTTAGGAGCCCAAGCCAACTTCTTTCATCCTGTATGAAAACATACATTGATTCAGATACTAAATTGAAAGTGAATTGTATTTGAATAGGCTTGGTTCACTAACTTTGCTTTTTCTTCTTTGTCTACTTTTTATTAATGATTTTTAGGAAAAAGGAAGCACTCCACTCCATGTTGCCTCCAAAGCAGGACAGATTTTACAGGCAGAGTTATTGGCAGTATATGGAGCTGACCCAGGCACACAAGATTCTAGTGGGAAAACTCCCGTTGATTATGCAAGGTGAGAGATTGAAATTCTTCCACTTTTATGCATGGGGATGACTCATTGCTAAGTGACTGAATTATGTATGATTAATGTTTAGCCCCTTTAAGAATTTATATTCTATTATTTTGTAGGTGAAGACATTTCAAATGCGTGTCAGCTCAACCAGGCAAAATCAGGGATTCATAGACTGGTGTGCTTAACTTCCAATCTGTTACCTGATTCTTTATAACAGTGATATTTGAGCCATGGTCAGAATACAAATCTGGTATCAAGAATTACAGAGATGGGGGCTGGAGAGATGGCTCAGCAGTTAAGAGCATCCAGCACCCATATAGTAGCTAACAGCTGTGTGTAACTCCAGTTCCAGAGAATCTGACATCCTCTTCTGGCCTCTGTGGACATTGCATGCTTATAATGCACTTATATTTGCAGGCTAAACACTCATGCACATAAAATAAAAATAAATCAAAAAAATAATTACATGCTAGGCATGGTGACACACCCCTTTAAATTCCAGCACTCAGGAGACAGAGGCAGGTAGATCTCTGAAATGAGGCCAGCCTGGTGTACAAAGCATGTTCCAGGCCAGCTGGGGCTACAGGAAAACTCTGTCTCAAAAAAACAGAAAAAAAGAAAAAGAAAAAAAAAAAAAAAGAATTATAGAGAGGGCCAAGCATGTGATGATACACAAATCCCAGCATTTAGGAGACAGGGGCAGGCAGATCTCTGTGAACTCCAGACCATCTGAGCTACATAGTGTGACCCTGTGAAAAAAAAAAAAAAGACAGTCTAAAGAAGTGCTTCAGTACCCACATAAAAAGCTGGATAGGGCCTTGAGCATCTGTAATCCAGCACAGGAGGGCAGAGACAGGCAGATCCCAGAACTGGCTGACCAGGCAGAACTAGCCAAAACAGCAAACTCTAGGTTCGTTGAAGAGACCCTACCCCCAAAATAAGGTGAAGAGCTATTGAGCAAAAGAAAGACCAATATCACCTTCTGGCCTTCACAGGTGCACACATGAGGATACGCTTCCCCATATAGTTGTGTACACATACAAATACATATATAGTCATACACCATACATACAAACACTAAAAACAAAAGATCCACAGAGGGCTAGATATGTAGCTTGATGGTAGAGTACTCTATATGCACAAGGGCCTCGATTTAATCCCTGGCAGTAGGGGAAAATATACATAACTCACTCTTCAGTTTTTTAATGCTCTCCAAGTCTGTTAATACATACATGATTAACAAGTATAGTAAAATGTTTTAGATAGGGGACATCTGGGTCATCTATAAATCTTTAAATTTTTCCAAATGCAGTTTTGTTTTGTTTTGAGATGGAGTCTTAACTATGCTGCTCTGGCAGATCTCGAACTTCTAGCCTCAGAAAAGGTTCCTACTGTGGTTTCCTTGGTAACTGGGGCTACAGGTACGTACTACCATGGCCTGCTAAATTTTGAAATGCTGGAATATTAAGTAACTCTACAAGATTTAATAACTCTATTTAAACCTATGGGTTTAAATGACAGAAAATTGATCATCTTTCCTTCTTTTTAACAAATGTATTAACTGTGAAGCATCATGTTCTGCTTCACAGAGAATAAAATGGGAGAAATGACAACACTCTGTCCTAGAATTTACTCCGATGATTCATAAATGCATGAAAGAACTGAGGCAAGATAATATGTGAATTGTTGACAAAATGGGTAGTCTTGTTTTGCTTTTTTAAATTTTATGAATGTTAGCCGGGTGTGGTGGCGCACACCTTTAATCCCAGCACTCAGGAGGCAGAGGCATGTGGAGTTCTATGAGTTCGAGGCCAGCCTGGTCTCCATAGTGAATCCAGGATAGCTGGGGCTACAGGGAGACCATGTCTCAAAAACACCAAAAAAAAAAAAAAAAAAATTATGAGTGTATTCCCTACATGTATGTAAGTGCACCCATGTCATACAATAGCCCCAGAAGTCACATGAGGACATCAGATTCTCCTGGAACTAGAGTTGCCACGAGGGTGATAAGAATTGAACCTGGTCCTCTGTAAGAGCAGCCAGTGCTCTAAACTGCTGAGCCATCTCTCCAGCCCCTTGTGTTGTGTTGTGTTGGGTTGGGTTGTATTGTGTTGTGTTGTGTGTGAGACAGGGTCTGACTCTGTAGCGCAATCTAGTAATCTTCCTGCCTGTGGTGAGATTACAGATTTGAGTTACTATGCCCTGCTGACAGTTGGTCTTAAAATGCACATATGGCCAATATGATAGCTCAGTGGGCAAAAGTGCTTGCTGCACAACTCTGATGACCTAAGTTTGATCCCCAGAACATACATGAAAAGTGAGATGCAGTGTGGCACATCTATAATCTCAGCAGTCCTACAGCAAGATGGGAGGCAGAGACAGGAGACTCATAAAGTTTGTGAGCCAGCTATAGTGAAACAAGAGAGACCTGTCTCAACAAGATAGAAGCTGAGAACTGACTCCCAGTTGTCCTCTGAGTTCCACACACATGCTGTGGCATACCCGCCCACAATAACACTCAAACAAATTTAAACAATTTTAAGGCTTATATAAGAGAGCTAGGGAGATGGCTCAGTGATTAAAGCACTTGCTGTACAAGCATAAGGATTACAATTTGAGTCCCCAGAATCCACAAAAATGCCAAGTGAATGTGGTAACCCTCCTGTAATTCCAGTCTTGTATGGCAGAGACAGAGGATCCTTGAGCTAGCCAGACTAGCTATATCAGCAAGCACAGATACATGCACCCCCACACACATGTGCACCCATTTACATTTGATCATGCATGCATGCACACACAAACACAAGGGAAACAAAGCATATATAAGGTTTTTTCATTGTGGCCTGAATGATTAGGTGATTTCTTTAGCTGATCTTTGAAGAAGGGGTTGAATATAGGCAGATGAAAGAGGGATTAAAGCATCCCAGGTAAGAGGAAGGCAGAGTCAAGGGGGGATATAGGGATATACAGGATGTGTTCAAAGGTGGTGGAACTGAAGACAGCCAGGGGTGTGGGAATGTTGGACAGGAATGCAGTGTTTCACCAGATTTGTGACAGCATGTTAGCATGTAGACTTCATCCAGCATTTAAAAAAAAAAAAAAAACTTTGCCAGAAAGATTACTGTGCACCACCAATTGTGGGATACTTTATGATTTCACCGATTTTTTTTTTCCTTTGGTCTTTTTGAGACGGTCTCCCTGTAGCACCATTTATCCTGGAACTCACTATGTAGACCAGGCTGGCCTTGAACTCACAGAGATCCGTCCGCCTCTGCCTCCCAGGTGCTGTGATTAAAGGCATGTGCCACCACACCTGGTGATTTCACAGATTTTTAATAAATGAGAAAAGATGTCTATGTTAAATTCAAAGATATGTTAGGTTGGAGAGAACTTTGTGGGAAGAGAAACTGCTTGAAGCTTGGTTTGATCTCTGAAGTTGACCAGAGTCTACAGTAAACACTTTATCTTTTATGTTGGAATCTCTTGTGTACTTTGCATGTCACAGTCTCTCAATATAATTGTTTATGTGCTAAAAGGATTCCAAGCAGCTTAAATATTTCTTTCATGAATAAAGAGAAGCAGACAGCGTTTTCAGGTGTAGATGTTGAAGGTACGTAGTAGTGCTACAGGTGTGAGCTCTGTATTAGGCCAGTCTGTCTTCCCTGACTTGAAGCCTTTGCAGTGGTTTCTGATTTCTAGACTCATCCAGAGGCCAACTAGCTGTACCAGAATGATGCGGGGGAAAGGACCTTCAAAAAGTTGATGCATAGGCCTGTCCTGCCCTTACCTTTTCAGAATTCCTAAGGCTGTATATTTTTGGAAAGACTCCAGTTGACTTTTGAGACCCTCTTCTATCAGTCATACTAATTTTATCTTCTCACCTTATTAGCTGAGTGAATCTTTTTCTCTCATAAGTCTTTAAATTCCTTAAGTGTCCTGTTACACATTATCAAAGGAAAGCACCAGCTTACAGAGATGGGACTAAAAGTGGGTCTTGACAGTCTTCCTTACACAATGTTCCAAAAAAATCATGTTTGATGAACTGCTCAGGTGCCTCATGGGGCAGCTTTGTACTCCTCGAGCTCCAAAACCCATGAATAGTAAGCTATATCACTGGTACTTTGTTTTCTCTGGGTAGGCAAGGAGGACACCATGAGCTGGCAGAACGCCTTGTAGAAATACAGTACGAGCTAACTGACAGACTGGCCTTTTATCTCTGTGGCAGGAAACCAGGTAAGTGAGAAGATAACAACTTTGCTACATATCTAGTCCAGAAAACAAGTCAGGACAGTGTTTCTTTGTGATTTCCTCTGCTTTACTGTAGCCTCAAGAAAACTGTCAACAAGGGTTTTCTTTGTTTGAGAATTTCATACCTGAGTATTGTATTTGCATTATTTCCATCCCTCCCTGTCCCCTTTCAGCTCCTGATATTTAAAATGTTTATATATATATATATATAAATGCATTGAGTCCATTTAATGGTGCTCATGTGTACTTGTTTTTAGAGCTGCCTACTTGGGATTAGCTCAAGGAGCTAGTCCCTGGAGAAAACCGATTCTCCTTCCCTCAAAAGGTTGTTGTTTATTTTATTTATTATTTTTATTTTATGTGTATGAATATATTGCCTGCATGTATGTGTATCCATGTTGTGCAGTGCCCACAGAGGTCAGAAGAGGGCCTTGGAGCCCCTGGAACTTGTTAGCCACCATGTGGGTACTGAGATTCGAACCCTGGTCCTCTGCAAGAGCAGTCAGTGCTCTTAACTATTGTGCCATCTCTCCAGCCCCAAAAGGTTGTTATTTAAAAGGATTAATTACTTGCTGAATTTTCGTCTTTTATTTTTTATTTTTCTTATTTAATTTTTTTCAGTCAGGATCTTATTGTATAGCCCTGGCTGGCCTTGAACTCACAGAGATCTTCCTACCTCTCCTTCCCAAGTGCTAGGAGTTGTTAAATTTTTACATTTATTGTGTGTGTGTGTGTGTCTGTGTGTGTGTGTGTGTGTGTAATAAAGGAAAGAGGGTAGTTCACATGGCAGCACCAGTGTAGAGGTAGAATTGAAAGTGGGTCTTAACAGTCTCTCTCTCTCTCTCACAGTGCTCCTTTCAGAGTGAACTTTGTCTTTGACAGGCCTTGTTTGTGATATGGAACAGGAATCATCAGACTGTGGTCTGAGCCCAATCCAGCCTGTGACCTGTTGTATTAAATAAAGTTTTACTGCAAGGTAGCCATGCCTGCAGATGCCTTATGTAGAACTGCTTTCTGAGAGCAGCAGCAGAGTTGACAAAGCAAGTAGTTGTAACAAATACCCACAAAGCCTTTACTCTTCAGTCCTATATGTAAGAGATTTGCCAGCTTTTAAAAAACATTTATTTAAAAAAAACTTTATTTGTGTGTGGGCTTGGATATACATACTACCAGGTGTGCCTAGAGGTCAAGGGTTAACTTTTGCAGGCATCATTCTCTTCTGCACATGTTCTAGGGCTTAAACTCAGGTTGTCAGGCTTGGTGGCAAGGCCTTTACCTGCAGAGCCAGCTTGTGGGGTTAGAATTTACCAACTCTTGATGCAGGGTCCACATACATGTATGCAGTGCCTCTCCACCCTGGTTGTGCAATAGAATTAAGAGCCACTTGGGGACAAGGTGGAGAAGCCACATTCTACCTCCTGCCAAATGGAGCTAAAAACCCAGGACCAAATGCTCAGACTGTCTTTGAAAAGAAAATGCTAGCTAATGAGTAACAAAGTATCATCCAGCTGGTGGTGAGTATCTTATTTCTCATATGATAGGGGTTCGGTGGCAGCCTGTGATCTGGAGCTACATACAAATGCAAAAAAAAAAGCTTTCTCTTTTTGATTTGATGAGCAAGAAATGAAACATGCACAGGACAGACAAGAGAATTCCCCTGGGTGTCTGAGGGTTTTCCCCTTCCTTTTTCTGTTCTTTGTCATCTCAGAAGATGGGCAAGCCTGTGGGTACAATAGCAGCAACAGTGGTGGTAACATAAGTGAATGTCTGACCACTGACATGCAGGAACCGGTTGCTTTTCTTTTTTTTGCTTTTTCTTGCCACTCAGCAGGTAGAACCCAATCTGCTATGTTACCTGCTAAAACAAAAATATTACTAGTGTCCATGGATTTTTAAAGAAGATTCAGAGTCTCACAACATAGTTTTAGATATCCTGTGATTTGAGATATGAAGAACCGGGAAAATCTCATGGAGCTACAAGGAGAAAGCAGTCAACAGATACTAGTCCTGGGGCCAACATGTGACTCAGTGGGCAAAGATACTTGCCTCCAAGCCTGACACTGAGTTCAATCCCTGGGACCCACATAATGGAAGGAGAGAATCGACTCCCAGGGGTTGTCCTCTGACCTCCACAAGCATGCCAGGGAATGTGTGTGCCCAAACACACAGACACACAATATATGAATAAAAATGTTTAAAAAAACAAAAAAACGGGGCTGGAGAGATGGCTCAGTGGTTAAGAACACTGGTTGCTCTTGCAGAAGACCCAGATTTGAATCCCAGCACCCACATGGCAGCTAACAACTGTCCATAACTCCAGTCCCAGGGGATCCCACAGTCTCTTCTGACTTCTGTGGGCATTGCACGACACTGGTGCACTTACCTACATGCAGGCAATACATGCATATACATAAAATAAAATTTTAAAAAGCCAGATGTTAGACCTAAGGTAACACAGATGTTGAAATTGTCAGAAAGATTTTAAAGTATACAGTAAGACTGTACTCTTAAAAAGTTAAGACTGAAAATTCTTCACACAGACACATAAAAACCTAGTAAGAATGTTAGAACTGAAAATTATAGTAGCTAAAAATTTCAGATTCACTTGATGGGATTGATAGCTAGAAGTATCAGAAAAAATGAATAGTGGATCACTATGTAGTGATGTAGCTCAGTGAGGGGATTATCTGAGTATAGTGCTTGTTATGCAAGCATGAAGACCTTCTGATCCAGTACCCATTTTATACCAGATGTAACAGCACATGCCTGTAATCCCAGCACTGGGGAATCAGAGACAGGAGATGTTAAACAATACTCAAGTAACCAAAAGACACATTTTTAAAATATTTTATTTGTTCTTATTTTTTTGTGTATGAGTGTATCATCTGCATGTATATAAGTGCACCTGTGTTGTGCAGTGCCCACTGAGGTCAGAAGAGAGCATTGAATTCCTTTGGAACTGGAGTTACAGATGGTTGTTAGCTGCCACATGGTGCTGGGAATTGAACCTGGGTCCTCTGCAAGAACAACCAGTGCTCTTAACCACTGAGCCATCTCTCCAGCCTCCGCAAAGATATTTTTATTGAAAGCATTCATCTAGGCATGGTGATGCACACCTTTAATCTAGCACACAGAGACAGGCAGATCTCTGTGAGTTCAAGGCTTGCCTGGCAGCCTGGTCTACATAGGCAGTTCCAAACCAGCCACAGCTACATAGTGAGACTGTCTAAATAAAAAGAAAATGTTCAAAAGAAGAGAAGAAATAGAAAAAGAAAAAAAAACTGGGGATCAAACAAAAAATAATAAAGTGACAGACAAATACAGACATCAATAATTGAATTAAATGTTAACGATCCAAACTAACAATTAAAAGCAGAAATTGTTAGAAAAGTTTAAAAAACAAAAATGAACTATATGCTGTGTATAAGAAACCAGCTTTAGGACCAAGAGATAGCTCAGTGGGTAAAGGTGCTTGATGCTGAACCTGACAATCTGAGTTCAAACCCCAAAACCCATATGGTAGAAGAAGAGAACTGCCTGTCCTGTGGCACACATACAAATAATTCTAATAGAAAATTTAGGAAAAAAAAAAAAACAGCTTCAAATACAGTGATCAGTATAATACCAAAGATGTAAAAAAAATTGTCCATATACACTGAGGAAAAGAAAGCTAAAAGTAGTGGGGGCTGAAGAGATGGCTCAGCAGTTAAGAGCACTGGCTGCTCTTGCAGAGGACCCACATTTGTTTCCCAGCACCCACATGGCAACTAACAACTGTCTATTAATGCCAATGCTTGGGGCTCTGGCTCCCTCTTCTGGCCTCTACAAGCGTTGTACACATAGCTGCACTTACATGCACACAAAACACTCATACGCAAAAATTAAAAATACTTAAAAAGAAAAGAAAGCTAAAAGTACCTACACCAGTATCTGGCAAAATCTGTGGCCATACCACCCTGAACATACCCAATCTGGTCTGTAAATGGGTCAAAGTAGACTCAGAGCAAGAAAATTAATCAGAAATAGAGACATAAAACAGTGATGAAAAGAGTCAGTTTACCAAGAAGACAGAACAAATCTAAATGGGTACATAACCAGCCACAGAGCTTCAAATTACATGAACCAAACATTAATAGAACTGAAAGAGAGCTGGTAAGATGGCTTGGCAGGTAAAGGCACCTGACAGTCTGAGTTTGCTCTAGGAGAAGAGAACTGACTCCACAGTTGTCCTGTGACTTCACACACACACCTCGGCATGCACATGTCCATGTCCACAGATGCACAAAATAAATGCAGCAGAACTGAAAAAAGGAAGGGTTAGAGCCATAGTTCTCACTGCAGACTCTGCACATTCCTTTTAGAAAGAAACAGAACTGTTAGGAAGAAAATCAATAAGGGTGTAAAATGAAATGAAAAGTTAAAAAACAAGCAGATCTAGCTGGGTGTGGTGGCACATATTTTTAATCCTAGCTCTCAGGCCAGCCTAGTGTACATAGCGAGTTGCAGGCCAACTGGGCCTAAAGGGAAACCCTGTCTCAAAAAAACAGAAATAAAAAATAAAAATAGACCTGACATTTACAGAATAATCTACCCCAAAACATCAAAGTTATACATGCTTTAAGTTCATATTTAACAAGATAAATTCTATTCTGGATGAAACAAACCTAGCAACTCTAAAAGAATTCAAACTCCTATGAAGTTTATTCTCTGACCTTGATGGAATTAAGCTAGAACTGTATAACAATAAAACTAGGAAATGCTCAAGTGCATAAGTATTGAAACAACACATTTCTAAGTAACCCATTAGTCTAAACCAAAGTGGCAAGGGAAATTAGTATATACATATTATATATTTGGTTGGTTGATTTTTGTTTTTGGTTTTGTTTTTGAAACAATAATTCTGTGGGCTATCCTCAACAACCCAAGTGCTGGAATTACAAGTGTGTACTACCATGTCTGGATCAAAAGTATTTTCAGCTAAATGAAAATGGAAATACAACCTCAAAATTTGTGGGATATGCCAGGTATGGTGGTGGGTCATAGGCCAGCTTGGTCTACATAGTGAGTTCCAGACCAGCTGGGGCTACAGGTAGACCCTGTCTCAAAAAGACCAAAAAAAAAAAAAAAAAAAAAAAAAGTGTGGGTTATAATTAATACAGTGCTTAAAGAAAATTTTATAACATTAAATACTTGCATTAGAAAAGATAAAAGGTCTCAACAGCTATCAAAATACCTGAAAGCAGATCCTGAATCCATCATTCTGGAGTGCAGCCTTGGCAGACAAAAGAAAAATGAGGAGGAACCCAATAGAGGGATGCTTTTGGAAGCTCTCATCAAGAAATCCCAATGGACTCTGATATGAACATTTGAAATTTGCCCTGTTCTGACTTTTTTCTGGTTCTCTGTCTAAAACTTGTAATGCTAACTACTCTTGCCTTTACTTCTTCACATCCTCTATTCACCAGTCAAGGACTTTCTTTTCTCCCTACAGATAAGAGTTATACAATCTAGGAGTCTTTTAGATAGACCCACTAAAGGGATACCTCAGTTGCCTCACCCTACGTCCCTGTTCAGCAAGGAAGAAGCCAGAGCAGTCTGCGTCCTGATTCCCTATCAGCAATTTGGGTAACCTCTTCAGAGGATGGTGTGATAAGAATAGGAGGTAGGAATTGGCTAGGCAGTTAGGGTAAAAAGACCCCAAAGAGGGGCTGGTGAGATGGCTTAGAGGTTAAGAGCACTGACTGCTCTTCCAGAGGACCCAGGTTCGAGTCCCAGCACCCACATGGCGGCTACGAACTGCCCTTAACTCCAGTTCCAGGGGAATCTGAAGCCCTCTTCTGACCTCTGCGGCATTGTACAACACAGGTGCACTCTCG